TGGCCCTGGGCTAACATCCGTGCCCATCTTCCTCCACTTTATATGGGACGCCGCCACAGCATGGCTTGACAAGCAGTGCGTCAGTGCGTGCCCGGGATCCGAACCAGCGAACCCCGGGCCGCCGCAGCAGAGTGCGTGCACTTAACCGCTTGCGCCACCGGGCCAGCCCCAAGATTGAGAAACTTTAGATGCATAACAACCAAGTGTAACGCTTGGTCTTGGACTGAATCTTTGAACAAACCAACTGTGAAAGACATTTGGGGAACAACTGGGGAAATTTGAATATGGGCTGAGAATTCAACATGAGAAAGTAATTTTGTTAGCTATGATGATAGTATTCGATTATATAGGAAAAGTACTCTATTTTTTAAAGATGCATACTAAAATATTTAAGGGTGAAATGTCATATCTGTAATTGCTTTGGAATACTTTACAAAACAATATGAAGCAAAAAGAAGACAGTCTAGGTGATAGGACTGTTGAGAACCTGGAAGGCTGTGTTGGGAATGTTCTAAGGTGATGGGAGTGTAGACATTACTGAGATGGTGAACCATCTTGGGATTGGCTATACTGAAATGAGGAGGAATGAATGTCAGCTGGCCTGGAGGATAGCTGGGATATCACTGCCACAGTCCAAGGAAGAGCCGATGAAGGCCAGAACCACGGAGAGTAGGGAAGTCGCAGCGGCATTTCCGAGGGCACACGGAAGGACTGCAGGACCACTTACCTGTGGGAGGAGGCGAGGAAGTGGAAGAGTCTGAGACGACTCAGAGCTTCCCAACCTGGGCGCCCTGGGAAGAGGTGGTGGTCCCCCAAGGGGCACCTGGGTGGAGACGTCCCCCCAGGAATTGGGGATGTGAAACTGAGGAGAGAAGAGCAGTCCGACCAGAGATAAAAAGTGATGTCTAAACCTATAGATGGTGAGGGCCAGAACAAAAGAAAACAGAGGGGGACAGAGCCTTCTGTTTAAGGAACATGGGGAGGAGTGAGCAGCCAGCAGAAGAGCTGAGAGGGAAAGGAAGTTGCAGAGCTGGACCCCTGCACTCCGTTGGCACGGTGCTGGGCACTTATACCCATTACTCATTTAATCCTCACCACAACCCTGTGAGGTCCGTATGACTTGTCCTGTTTTAGGGATAAGGAAACTGAGGCTTGGAGACAGGGAGAGATGTGCCCAGAGCCCAAGCCGTGAACGGGCAGTGTTAGGATTTGAACCCAGATCTCTGGGGGTTGCAAAGCCCGAGCTTTTTCCCCTCTCTCTCAGAGGCCAAGAGAAAAGAGAACTTCACGACAGTGGCCAGAAGCGTCCAATAGTATAGAACGGTCAATTTGGATGAGAAGCAAGAGAACGCCATGGGATGGGGTGGCTGTCTCCAGAGCAGTGTCAGGGCAGGATCCAGAGCACCTGCAGGGCCCCGGGAGGGGGGACATCCAAGTGGGCTGGGGCAGAGCTGAGGTGAAGGTCAGGAGAATGGGGCCGTCTGAGAGGAACACCAGGAGAAGGAGCAGGTGCAGAGTGGTGGCAGCAGCCTGGTCAAGCCATGGGAGAGAAAGAACGGTGCCAGGGGAGACAGGAAAGGACAGGGCCAGGGAGACCCCGGAGAACAAGCCTGTGTGGAGTTGGAAGTGAGGGGTAAGAAAGGCACGTTCCTAATCAAATTTGTAGAGCCAAGAGTAGAATGGTGGGGGCCAGAGGCTGGGGGAGGGAGGAACGGAGAGTTAGTTCAGTGGGGGTGCAGTTTCAGTTTGGGAAGATGAAAAAGTTCTAGAGATGGGTGATGGTTGTGGTTGCACAACAATGTGAATGTGCTTAGTGCCGCTGAACTGCACTTACAAATGATTAAAATGCAGGGCCGGCCCTGTGGCTTAGCGGTTAAGTGCACGCGCTCCACTCCTGGCGGCCTGAGTTCGGATCTGGGCGCGCACCTATGCACTGCTTCTCCAGCCATGCTGAGGCGGCGGCCCACATACAGCAACTAGAAGGATGTGCAACTATGACATACGACTATCTACTGGGGCTTTGGGGAGAAAAAGGGAAAAAAAACTAGGAGGATGGGCAATAGATGTTAGCTCAGGGCCAGTCTTCCTCAGCAAAAAGAGGAGGATTGGCATGGATGTTAGCTCAGAGCTGATCTTCCTCACAAAAAAAAAAAAAATGGTAAATGTTATGTATATTTTAACACAATTTCAAAAAAAAGAATCACCCACTCCCCTAGCCTGGAAAGCTGACATAGAGCCCTGTGTGCCTGCTGGGCTCCAGGAAGGGCCTCTGAGAGGGGAGGCAGCTGACCTCAGATCTGGCCCTTCACATCACATCCTTCAGA